GCGTCCATAGCTCCTTCCACCTTTTCCGCTAGCTTCGCTGGCTGGCATGACGGAATAGGCTGCCAGCCCCCTGCATTCTCAATATGCTTTCAAACTGTATAAAGCATCTGACTTATTGTCCGTAGAAGCAGGATTTCCACACACACACACACAACTCCCGGTCAAGCCGGTTAGCAACAGCGCAACTAGACAAGTTGCCGGATTGAAGATGCTGAGACAATGTATAAAGGTACAGAGGGGAACATAATTCGATCGGAAATGTCAACTTCTTAGAGAACTTCGACAAGGAAGGACGAATGCTAAGCCAGGTTCCAACGGTTTTATTGTCCAAGCTCCATTGCGAATCTGAGGAAGAAACCGAATCTAAATACTGATTGAAGTCATGTACAATGCGGTCAAGGGCACGACAAATTTGCCGAACATGATTAAAAGGACCTGTAATCGCCTCAGTAAGTTCAGCACATTGTTGAGAGATTTCCCTCACTTGGGCCTGAATGGAATCCAGTTGCCCTTGTTGAATGCGATGAACAAACTTTTCATCTTCTCGTTGCTGAATGGTATCTGCCCGAAGAGACTGTAGCTCACTTTGGGTGTAGCGGATCCAACGATCTAGAGCCAGAAGTGGCTCCATTGCAGAATTTACATCATGTCTTGTTTCTCTTGAAAACCATCTGAAAGCACAAGGCAGTCAATAGTTACAACAGCATCTCAGGTGTCACACAAAGGCAAACGGTCATCAAGGCCTTTATGTTCTCAATCGTCCAAGAGCCCGATGTTCAAGCGACTATCCACTTGTCATCCCTATGTAGCTTCTGTCATGGCTCGAAGATGGATGACGACAACATTCTAAACCTGCTACGCGTTGCTTGAGGGAAGCAGTCTCTTGATTGCATTTTTCAATAAACTTTGCGCTAATCACTTGGAAGCGACGAACATGTAGAAGCGTTCGATGATGTTGCTCAATCTTCCGTTAAGATTTGTAACGGGGCTTGAGCAATAGCTTCACGTCGCTGTTAAGAATTGTCAGGTCGTTCCCTTTCACTTGATTGTGACGATTGTGCGCTCATGACGATCCCAAGATGAGGCAGAATAAAACGGAAATCACAACGGCTATGGAGCAACGTGAAGCATTCTTTTACCTTATTTGAAGGTGGTGTGAATTTTACAAAAAGATCATTTGGATCAGCAAGTTCTTGTTGTTGTCGTCTTTGTGGTGGCCATATATACTTCCTAATGTTCGCAGATCTGGACTGAAACAAAGCCGTCGAGTGGTATGTTTTTGAAATGGAAGTTGGCAATCGAAACCTCCAAGGATCCTGTGTCATAATCATCTCAACGGCATAGGTCGGCCTCAACTGAATGTCAAATCACAAAAATACACATTGTACTCCACGTGTATCTACTGCTTCCAACAGTACTGGTGGAACATAGAACTCATCGCTCAGAAAGATTGTAAATGCAGCATGGTCAACCAATTCCTTGTTCACCAAGACTACTCGGTTGTCAACGTATCGAAATAGAGAAACCTCGATTGCGCCCCCTCCAACCATTCCCAATGTTGATGCATGTTCCAAATTAGCAATGCTGATACTTGTAAGAGATCGAGAGATCTGATTACCAATGGCTAATTGCTGCTCCCGCTTGTTGTGCAAATACTCGACCCACCACTGTGAAGACACCTCTTTCGGGACACAAGCTGAACCAGTTCCTTACAAACTTGCTGTAAATGATCTTCAGGAACATTTAGAGCTCTTTCAAAAAGAGGGTCAACAATTTCTTTTGGTTTTGCATAGGTCGCATGGGTATTCAGATCCATATCATGATACGCTCGCCACGAATTAGGACCAGCAAAGTCAACTGCAGTTATCCCATTGGAGGTGCAGGAAAAGGAACCTCTACCTTCGCAGACTCTTTCAACTAACACTGAATATCTTCTTCCTTTCCCACAGGTGGTGGAGAACCAGAAAAATAACGTTTGCTAAGAAACATACGTCTGTCATAACTCACACCACTTACTTGTATTTCCAGAACGTCAACCCACAATTTTTGCAAAAGCTCCAGTGCCACCAGAGGCATCAGCCGGTTGTGCATTTTGTTGTAGGGATTGACCGCTCAATAAGCCCGGTGGTGTAGGTGGAAGCACCGTAGAAACTGGAGGAGGTACAAGTAGTGGTGGAAAAATTGTCTTGATCCTTGTCTAGTATCTGCAATAACAGTACCCAACCCAAGTCTCAACACAAAACAAAAAGATAACAAATTCGGACGTAGAGGAGTAGGTGCTTGGCTAGCCCCGCGCCAAATGCTCGGTGGCTCTTCTGTACCAACCATTCTCTTGGAGGATCGGCAATAGACCTATCCCTTCGTTCTCTACGACGATGTCTACGTGTAGTTTCCCTCCTTGATCTTGAACGACGCCGTACCCTTCTCGTAGATCTACTTCTCCTCCTTCTTGATGATCTGCTTCTCGAAGCAGACTCCCAGTAAACATTGGTTCGTACAGTCGGCATGGCTTTAACAACTACAGCCAAAGAACTGTATCAACAATGTACTCCAAACAAAGCCAACATCTGAAGATTGAAAAGTTTTCTTGTTAGCAAGCTATAACTTTCAAACAATCATCCCGCAAAGATTACAACAAAGAAGTAAACCGTCTACCTCACGGTTTCTGTCATCCTTTCTTCTTCTTGAGCACTGAGCTGAAGTGATAACAGAATGAAATGAGACAAACAGTCACAAATGCTGGGTAAGCTTTGGCTGACGAACCGAATTATGGTATTTATTTGTAATGATAGAAACAAAATGAGAATGAAGACACGTTCCATGATTCTTAAATTTATTTGTCTTACGGTCCGATGGGTGCTTTCTGGGTGGCGACTGGGTGCTTCATGGGTATAAACGAGACGATTGGGTGTTGTGTGGGAGCATCAACGATGCTTGTACAACTTTGTAGCAACTTGGATCAGCTTACTCATGAGTATGATTTGGATAAGCTTCGGCTGTCAATAGCACGGGCTTGGGTATGCTTGCTTAAGAGTCTGACACACCTCCACTGAGACATGTCAGAGATGCTTGAGTACAAAGCTGTGCGTCCATAGCTCCTTCCACCTTTTCCGCTAGCTTCGTTGGCATGACGGAATAGGCTGCCAGCCCCCGCATTCTCAATCTGCTTTCAAATTTTATAAAGCATTTGACTTATAGTCCTTAGAAACGGGACTTCCCCCCCACTCACACACACACACAAACACGTAAAATCATTTGTTCGGACCTGGTTGACTCGTCTGTGTGTGGTTGCAACTGAGCGATTTTGCAGGTCGAGGGCAACACTGCACGGCCCAGATTGACTGTCTTTCGATCAAAGATGCACATGTCTTCGGCTGAGCTTACGCGCAATTTGCAGCGGGCTGGACGTGAATGCGGGGACTTTCGAGGCATGCCAGTGTCATCGACGACACGATTGGTACTGGTGTAACGTTGATCCAGGCCAGGCTCACGACGTTCCTGATGCGAAGTCTTCGAAGTTGTTCGAAATGTTCTCATGTCAAGGTGACTTCCAAGCAGGCCGGCTCCCTGGAGCAGATCCGCGCCAAGCAAGGCTGCACAAACTTCCGCCTTTGTCACGAACGTGGACACTGCAGGGAGCCTGCGAATGCCTGCGAGGCTGCGATGCCGGACAAGAGAAGACCTGGTCGGTTGACGCAGCAGAAATCATAGGACCCAGTGTGACGGTTCGAAGCCTCTTCGGAAAGGCTTGACTGTGCTTGCCTGCGACAGGAACAGAAGTTGCAAAGCAATGCCTGGTCCGCAGATGACTGGATGTGCAACAGCAAATTGCAGAGTGTCATGTTCAGATATGTGCAGAGGTTCGTGAGGTCCGGTGTAAATGGGGAGAGATGCAGGAGTTCTGGTCGGTGCATTGGCAGTGGGTATGGCGGTCTTGGTTGGAGAAGGAAGTAATGATTAGGGCTGCGTGGAACGAGCTGGCGGCTGGGCGACTCAGGGCGCCTCGTGGAATGGTGTGCCCTAGAAACATCTAGTGAATGGGGTTGCGCTCGACACGTGGCCCATTTAAATGCAGCGCGACACGAGAACAATAACAGAGCAGGAATCTCTGGTCAGCTACATGAGAATGTCTGAAGCTTTATCTGACGCAGGCTTGGAGAAGGGCATCACCATGGTTGTGTTTGACCGTTCTGGCCAACCCTATGAGGGACGTGTCAAGGCAGTGGGTCAAAAGTCCGCAAAGCTTCTGCAAGATGCCACGGGCTGCAGGCTGTCGCGGAGGCTGCTCGCAGCGGCGGGCTTCAGCGACTTGGTGCAGAATTCGCAATACTTTGGTGATCCTGCTGCCATATTAGCCGTATTCTGAGTCGAGGCCTCCTTAAACACTTTCATTGAAGCACCAGGTTCTGAAGATCAGCTTGGCCTTCCGCCTCCATGGCTCACTGACTGCATTTCTCCGAGAGTGTCAGAGAAGGTGCACGACTAGTCCACAGTCCAGATAAGTCGGAACCTCACGCAACCAATCGAGAAGTGCTTTTAGACCGAAGCTACTTGCGTGCAGCGACCAGAATGCCAGCGGCAAAACAGGACCGAAGCCTGGACTTATGAATTCGGGACGAGACAGTCGATGAATGTCCTGCATTTCCAGAGAGCTCGCAGCACGAAGTACCAGCATATGCCGCCTTCATGTGCAATGTGTCCTATGTCGTGTAGATGCACGAATTTGTACAGACAAGCAGCATCAATTCCCAACGCATGTGATACATCTAGTTTTGCGACAGCTATCGCAGCGGGCCTTGATGGCGGATATAGGCTCGTAGTTTCTGATGTTCTGTTCACCTGGCAAGTCTTGATCCTGCACTTCCTCAGACACGTGGTGCAGGTTTTCTGGATGAAGATGAACCTGCAGAGACGGAGGAACCTGGGGAAAATTGGGCCTGGCAGGGAAGCTTAGGTTTCCCGCCTTTTTCTCTTTTGATCTCGGGGCCTTTCAGGATGAGCTGGAGGAGCTGATGCCCTGCACTTTCATAGATTTCATGTACAATGCACCTTGTGTGCCAGCAGATCCGGTGCAGGTTTCATCTGTTTTCCCAAATCTGAAGGAGCTTGGCTCCCTCATTTCCTTCGCCAACTTGGAGCATGTCGTCAAGCCCGCTGCCTGGCTTTGTGGTCTCGAAACCAACTTCTTACGAAGCCGTGGAAGGCACATCATCCGGAAGTTCAAGTCTCTGGAGACTGAGCCCGAGAGTGTGTGGCGTTGTGTGGCTGGAGAGCGGCATGTTCGAAAGAGCTGTCCCAGGGCATATAACGAAAGCAACGATGCCACGATCAAAAGCCTCAAGGGAGAGCTAGAGGCAGAGAGCTTTTGGCGAAGCACTGGGCCGAACTAGCATGTTTCTGCGCTCAGGTGCGTGCAACCATCACCGGCTTGGACGAGGCAGACACCGGAGCGCTGCTCCTGCGGGCGCGTGTGCCCAACACGTTGCATTCCCCCGCAGGTGGTGACGGAGCTGAACCAACGCATCGAGCAGCAGCAAGAGCAGCTGTATCTCACGAAGGTGCGCAAGAGCAAGTCTTTTGAAGTGTTGCAGAGCAGACTGAGACATCACCTTCAGGAGAACGTCACCTCGTCTGAGGAGGCGATCGACAGACTCAAGGCCAAGAAGGGCCGGGCTGAAGTGATGGGTCGGAAGAGCTCCCAGAGATGACCGAACAAGTCTTCGTCCCAGGGAACCCAGACACAGTTGGAGAAAAAGCTCGACACGGTCATCAAGGACAGGTATATCATACTTAAGCCGTGATGCAATGCAGAGGACGTGTTGCCTTCCGTGGCTTGCCGCCGGCTGCAGGAGAAGGCTGTCCAGGACCGCCTTATCCGCGAGACCCAAGACGCTCTCCTGGACAAAGTGTCTTTGGCGGAGCTGAACATGTTTGAGGCGCAGTGACCCGGTTGCGGCTGTGCGCTTCAATATATATATATATATATCCGTCGTGAGTAGTTGAAGCTTGCAGCGCGGGCCTTCCAAGCGAGACCACGAATCGGTCGGTATCGGAAACCGCTTCAAAAAGAGTACTAGTGAAAGAGTGAGTCAGACATATTCCAGGCCAAGTTTGCGGGGTACACCACAAAGCTGGAGCACCAGCAAATCCTCAATGCCCTGAGGCCGGCGGCTGAGAGATTTCGGGGTGTGCCCAAAAAAACCTTTCAACTTTGGGGGCTCTGCAGTGACTATGCCACCCTCGACGTTGCGGAGCGGATAGCAGAGAACATGAAAGCCAGGAGCCCAAGACTTCGGTAGGGCAACTGTCAGCGGATGTCCAGCGCTCCAAGCATCCGCAAGGTGCTGTCGACTCGCTTCGATGACTATACCCGGACCGCAAAGCTGGAGCAGCAGCTGCAGGACGGTACTGCTTCCTGTTTTGCCCGTTGCAGTGCTGTTGCTGACGAGGAAGTTCGCGACTGGGTTGGCGATGAGCTGCAGAACTATGCAAAAGTTGCCCAAACCACGATGCGGGTGCGCTACGATCTGCCTCATAATTTCCACGTTCCACTGTGTTGACAGACATTGACATGCCGCAGATAGAAGAGCTGGCCGTCCACATCAAGGAGCAGTCTTTAGTGCACGACAGCAAGTCTTCCATTCTGGCAGTCTGCAGCACATTGTGCTGTTGCTCCCAGGTTTGACCAGGTGTATGCCTCCAACAATGACCAGTTGCGAGGCGTTAATTCTAACTTGTAAGCACACTCGTTGTCGGTCAAGACATTGCCAGGCCTGTCCGACCGCATCACCTCCATGTATTCGGAGTTGGCCAACGATCTTCAGCAAAGGGTCGGTCGCTCTAGTGTGGCTGCTGGTGCTTGCCGTGGTCGCCTAGTCGCCTGGTCGTCGCAGCAGCTGCTCCTCTTGTTTTCTTGTCAGGCCATGTATGATGACTTGCAGCAGACGAAGAACAGTCTTCAGTCATGCGCTAAGGGCCGTTAAGGGCGTGAAGGGAGTTTGCTTGGTGATGCGTTCAGAGCAAGCTGCCCAGACCAGAGTGAGCTGAACTTGACATGTGAAAGGGACTACGCGCTTCGAAAAGAAACTGATGCATTTCAACAGGAGTGCTTTGAAGCGCCTTCTCGATGACTGGCTTCTGGCAGCCATGCCTACGTGCGCGCAGGATTGTGTGCCCAAGCTGAAGTTCTGCGTGGCGTCCATCGAGGCATTCGACCGGCGGCTGGGGCAACAGGACACGAGAGCCCTCTGCCGGAAGGGAAGAAAGCCTCTGCGGGTTCCCTTCTGGATCGCGCACTCTCTCTTCATGTAGGATGATGCCATTCAGCGCGTGGATGAGGTTCTCCTGGACAAGGTGGGGCCTTAAACCCTTGCGGCCAGCCTTCGCCTTCGAGCCGCCGTCTAGCAGAGGCCGGGAAATACGACATCGTCATCATCAACTCTCGAATCGAGCAGTGCTTGCAGAAGGCAGGGCTCTGGGGCCCTTACTGTGAAGGGTGGCAGAGAGCAGCTTTCAAGTTCAGGAAGCTGCCATGAAAGAGTTCCATGGGATGTACGACAAGTTGGAGAAATTCAACAAAAGGCGCCTTCGCCTTCGGATGTCGCGTTCGGGCCGTGGGGGTGCGTTTGCAGGTTTGACGAGTACATTGAGCAAGAAAGCGCTCGGCTGGATGAATTCCGGCCCCCAGACTATGGCCCGATGTTTGAGGACACTCGACCCTCAACATGTGCGGAAGCTTTGACATCTCTGATGCCAGGACTTGAATCAGAAAGTAGCCCTCAAGGCTGACAAGGTGCTGGAGGTAGAGCTCACCTCTTCGTTGCTGTGTGTTCAACGCGCAAGGCTGACCTAGTCGAGATGTACCAGCTTAAGGCGGAGACCAATCTGTTGAAAGTTTGAAGGGAGCTGCAGCTGCCCCAGCTCGGAGCACAAAGCACCCAAGGCGAATCGAATCGATGCAGACGAGCTGGCCAAGCTCCAGGACAACTGGTGGTCCCCGTTGTGCAGTCGATCTCAGCGGTGCTGTCGGTCTCGTGCAATGTAGATGACAGTAGGATGCTTGACTCAAGTTGCAGGATACCATACATCGGCAGCTAGAATACCTGAGCGTGACGACCTTCGGTCTGTCCAAGCTCTGCCTAGCGGAGGCTCGTGCCGGCGGCGGCAAATTTAGACAGAGGCACAACGTAGTCTGCCAACGAGGCTAAGCAGGGCGAATCCAAGACATTGCGAATGCAACAGCGCACCCAGGCGATGTGAAGATGCGCATTCGACAGCTCTGCACTCTTTCTTTTCTTGAATTGTATCATCCGTGTTATGTTCAACACATACTAGACATGAAGGTGCTGATGCAGAGTGAGGACGGGCGGCGACTGACCGCAGCGAGTGTGTGTCCATGCTGTGGGTTCTCAGCTTCATGTTGTGCGCCTGTCAGCAGGCCCTGTGGCATTGGATACTGCATAACGAGCCACCGCCAAATTTGGACACGCTGAGACCGCCTCCGGCCCGGGGAGTTCAGCGCTCAGGGACGCGCTGTTGGCTGTGGTTTTCTGCAAGGGTGGCTTACTGTGGTTTATCAGAGACTCGTGTCCTAGTGAGAAAAAGTCATGAATTGAGCTCCTGACAAGCATAAACTACCAGGAGCACAGGTACAGAATTTAATGAGTCGAGGCTATCATCTGAGCCCAAGAATACAACATTCTCCGAGCGTTTGGCACGAGATATCGCGGCCTGCAGATGTTTCACTTGCAAGGTGACACTCTTCTCGAGTTTCAACCCGTCTCAAATGGTTTACGGTCTTTGCATCGCTATTTTGGAAATGTAAGATTTCGTGATCGATCCAATTCAGTCCGGCCCGAGCGTCTACAAGCGACCGATTTGGGTCTGCAGTAAAGGCTGTCTGCAGCACTCTTGATTTGGTGACTAGCCATCAACGGAAACTGGGTTGTTTTCCAATGCGCCTTAAACAGTTTTCAGTGATTTGGGCGTGAGTTTTCGGACCGCGAATTTTAATGCAGTCTATCACCCGTTTAAACTTGACCTTCTGCGTTGGCGGCCTTTTGCTGGAAGAGCTCCATGGGCCAGGTTTCTTCAAGGTGTGTGGGTCAGGGCGGCCCTCCCTGCTCCCCTGCTCACGGCTCCCCCTGCTATCTTGCCTTACGCTTCTGGTTTCTTATGTTTTTGTTGTCATGTGCTACTGTTTGCTACGCTTTCTGCGGATTTCTTCTGGCAGATGCTACCGTTTGTAGTGTCTCTTTTTTGCTTTCCTGCCGCCTTTCCTTTGTTTACTTGTTTTGCTTTTCCTTGCTTGCTTTCGCTCCTTGCTCTCTGGCTTTCGCTTTTGTCTGATGCTTGTTTCGCTTTTACTCCTGCCATTCGGTATTTCCACGTGCTGTTTGCCTCGTTTTGGTTTTGCGTTCATGTTGCTTTTGTTACTTTTTGGCGTTCTACCTCTCATTGCTTGGTGTTCATTCTGTTTCTGCCGCGTGTTTCGTTTCTTGCCTGTTGCTGCCTGCTTGTCCTGGTTACGCTGCTGGAATCACCAAGTGAAGTGGGTTTATAGGTTTTTTGGCAGTAATCTTGGTTTCGAGAGCAAGGTCAGCATACGAGGCATCTGAGGTAGTTTTGCTTTGATTCCAGACTGGAATCGAAGTATAGGCATGAACTACCTCAAATGCCTCGGCCTTAAACCCCCTTGCCTGAAACATTCACGATTTAATGCTGGACAGCCTCACGTCAAGAACACATAATAACACATGAAAGAGCCCACCCTCAAGGGTTGATCCAAAATCCATCTTGCAGGACATCTCTCGCACCACACATTCGGCGGCAGTGGCTATACTGACGGGGTCAGGGGGAGTGCTCGCCTGCCATTTTTACTTTTTTTCTGGAATCTTGAACGAAAGTGCACTGGTTCCTACCTGTAACCCAAGAAGATTCTGGGGCTTATCTGACGGGTGTGTTTTCGCATGCTCACAAGCAGCAGGATGGCATAGTCATAACAAAAAAGTGGAGATGCGAACTTGGACTCGCCGCCACGGCCAATCAACAGTCCGAGCACAAGCACTCGCATTGAAAGGTCGGATGAAATATGTTTATTTCCCGAGGAACAACGACGGCGCCATGCACGAATCATTGGCAAATGCAAGGCCATCCGCAAATCAGCTGTAAGCTGGCATGTCCGAGCTATGCCGCCGGCCCATGCATGACACCCGTGAGGCATGGGAGTATCGCACCTGCGTGGAAGGGCAGTTTTATCGAATCCACGTCCATAAAATCCCTCAGCACGTCTGCCGGTGCTTTCGTGCCGGGAAAGGCCGCAAAAAGCAATGACCAGAAGTGTGCCGCCCGGAATGCCAAAATAAGTGTGACGTCTAAGGGTACGCGTGTAACCTTGCTGTTGCAATCACTGCACGTGGTGCAAAGCGCCGACATAATCCCCCGGCAGCTGTAAGTGCCAGAGCGAAATTAACCGTGATTACACGCAGCTGTCTCGTGCCAGTGCAGCATCCAATGAACCCCGGTACAGCCGGTGCTGCCGGTATGCTTCGCGTGTGATATTTAGAGCTGCGTCCGGGTTCCTACCAAATTGAAGAAAAGCCAGGCCAACCAAGCCAGCCAAGGTCGCAGCACTCATTTTAACTAATCGCCATGACCCAGGGATGAGCAAGGAGCAACGGGCTAAGCTGCATAAGCGAAGCCGTAGTTGTAGCCCCTCACGAGGGAGGATGGATGTGCGTCAAGTGCAAACGCATCCTGCCCTTCTTAAAGCACTCGGGCAGACAAACCATCCTAGGCATGCGCTTTCAGCCTGCTATGGCGGCCACTGTCCGGAGTCTTCATCAGCTTGGGTAACGCAAGAGGTCCTCACCAAAGACCTTCAGCACCGCCAGCGTGGTGACCGACAAGTTGCAAAAGCTGAGCAAAAGCGTGACAAACCTCACCTGGCGGGCAACGTTGGAAAGTTTTACGCGGCCACGTGTCCCAAGTGTTGTGTCATTTTGAAGAACGTGTCGTATTGTTTGCAGGATCATCGCCACCCTGAGTCCAGACACGACAACCACACTGCCAATCTGAAGAAATTTGTGGGACGGAGCATGTTCATGCCCAAAGGTACCAGCAAGCAATCTCGTGAAATTTGGAAGCTTGACTCGAAGAAGTAGGCCTTGTCCACCTTAACCACATTCCTGACCCCTCAGCCGGGCCATAATGTGGTTCGTGTTCAGGGTTGCAGCTTCACCGGCTGGAAGTGCACCTACGAGTGTCGAACCAGAGCCCAAGTCCTTGCGTGCGTGTGGTCCTTCAGCTCGTGAAAAGTTTGCATGTCAAGACGTGGTTTTGGGCCAGAATGAGCTCTACATGGAGACGTGCTCTTGCTAAAGAGTGGTCGCTGACAAGCAAAAAGAAGCGCGCCCTGGGAGCTGCTTCCATGCAACCGACAAAGAGGACTCCTGGGTGGCTGGGTGGGATCTTACCCAAGAGGACATCCATCCACACCCAGGCTTGTCCTTGTGGTCCCTAAACACCTCCTGCACTCGCTCGGTGACAACGGGACCATACGGGACCCCGCCTTTTCGAGTCGGGGATGCGAAGTTTTGGCAAGTTCCTAAGATAGGTTCACAGTATTAGTCGGGGATATGCTAGGCGGTCTATGGGGCGCCATTTTTCTTACTTCTGGTGCCCGCGTCTTGCAAAGGAGTGTGCGTGGCGCCATGACGGCCTGCATGTGCTGCGAGTGTTGCAGCACATGTCTTGTGCAGCTTGCCGACCCGTAAAGCCGGTTCCGCCCGTGTTCGCCAAATCCGTTCTTGGCCTTTTCATCCTGTGTGGCATCTTTCTTCGTGCCGTCGCGGCCGTTGCGCTGTCCGCCTGTGGTATTTGTGCCATGTCACTTGCTCCGTGCAAGACTCCTGTCGTTGCCCAATCCCCCGACCCTCTGCGTGGTGGAGGAAAGGGTGGTTTGCGTGCCGCCATCGCCAGCACTCCACGAATGCCGACATTGCGGCTTTGTCAGCTACCGTGGCTTCCCTTGCTGCCAAAGCTGGCAACCTCCAGGCCTTGGTTACCTCCAGTGTTGGCCCTCGTGGGCCCAAGCAACGTGGCAACAAGCCTGACAATCCTCAGCCAAGTCATGGTGTTTGTTACGTGTCTGCCTCTGAGCACTCGCAATCATCATTGTGCGGTCGTTTTGGGTCCGTGTCTCGCAAGTTCCGAAGTGGCCCGCCTGCCGCTGATGCGGCGCTGCGTTCTGCCTTGTGGAGCCTTCTGCCTTCTTGCCGAAGACAAACGCAGGACTTCCTCGCCCGACGCTGGGCCTGCCCGTATGCGGGCCGACGTCGCCAAACAAAAGGCTCAACCTCAGCCTAAGCCTCGTGCTGCCTTTTCCTTGTACCGGGACGCATGGACTGATCCCATCATCAAGGGCATCAAGGTGCAGCAAGAATGGGACGGGAAAAGCCGTCGCGCGTTGGAGTATCAGAACTCCACCCATCGTGATAAGGTCTTGGAATGGGCCCGTGCTTCTGGCAATCACGATGGGTTGTGACTTTTGGGTTGGAAGACAAGACTTCCACTTCAGGTAGTCTGCTACTTTGCCTTAAGCCTCTGCCTTCTTCCTTTCGCAACGACCTCGCAGCCACCACTGCCGAGCTCAAAACTGTTGTTTCGTGCCCTACACTCTCCAAAGAGTTTTCCCTCGAAGCTCTTTTTCAAGAAGCCGAGCGTGGGCCTCGCTTTCTGCCCTCCTTGCTTTTGGGGGCTTCCCGTAAGGTTATCTTACAGACCCGTGCTACCATGGCCTACCGGACCGAAGTCACTTATATTGTGCGGGTTTCTGAAACCGAGGCTGAATGTTTGCTTCACATGAGTCTCCCCACCGGTGCCTTCAGCTCACGACACCATGCCGGTGGTAGGTCCCTGTGGGTCTCTCGCCCTCCTGGGGCGTCATCTGACGATTATCTCGCCGTTGCCAAAGGTTTTGCTGCGGCTTCTGCGGGCAGGGTGGTTTGCCGCTCTAGCCGCAGTACTCCCCTTGGCATTGTTACTTGCCAGTCCTTGACTACCTTTGTTCCTGCTCGTTGGTACCTGTCAGGTGCTTCGCCTTTTTGGACCGAGGATGATGTCTTGGGCCTCCGGCCGTCGCCGTTGCTTCTTCCTCCGGGTCCGCCGGATTTGACGGATGGCATTCTTCCTAGCATACTCATGCACCTTTCCTTTTGGAAGAGCTTTACCATTTGTCGCTTGCCACGCCACTCGCCGAGAACCTGATGTCAGTCTTGGGGATTGGAAGACAGTTGGGATTCCCAAGGGCGCTTGTTTGGACTCTCGCCCCATCTCGGTGGCCTCCGTCTTGGTCAGGGCCTTGTGGGCTGGCCGTCGTGGTGTGTCTGTGCTTCATGCCATCGCCGCCTTTTCGGCCACTCCCAAAACTGGTGTCGCGGAACTTGACCTGTCAAAGGCCTTTGATACCATCAACCACTTTGTCGCTGACACTGCAATGCAGGCCCATGGGCTTCGCCGCCATCTTCGCCACGTCCTTCTTCGAGCTTGGAAAGCTCCTGGGGCTTCTCCCTTCCTGGCCCTGGATGTTCTTCAGCACGCTCTGCCGCCCAAACCCACCGCTACATGCAAAGGTGGGCCAGATGGTCAGCAAAACTTGGCTTGCTTGAGATCTTTGACAAAACGGCCATCTTGACTTCGGATACTCACAGCGATCAACGTCGTTGTTTGGGCTTCAGTGATAAAGCGTCTCACAGATGCCTTTTGCGTTTTGGGTGTTATCTACATTTTGTCCACGCCCCGCAGCTGACAACGCTATGCTGAGGGCAGCGCCGTCGCAGTTAAGCTCATGCGCATGCCGCATGCCTGCGTGACATGCTGTCAAGCGCCAGCTCTGGTCCGTCTGTGTTTTGGGTTAGATAGCTTGGGTAGAGGTCGCCGTCTGCCCCCGAAATACCGAAATCACGTCAAAGACAAGACGGGTGACAAGCCCGAAATTTCAACAGCAAGTGACGAGAGGCAAACTCCAAACCCTAACGCGCCTTTTTGCTCATCGGACTGGACACGGGCACTGAAAAAAAGGCCTGCCCCCAACAACTAAATCGGAAACGTTGAACCCAAGACCCAAACACTTATAGACGGTGCCAAACGGCAAACCCATGGAAACCTCACAGCTTAACAGTGTTTCGCACACCCAAACCGTTAATCCACAATTGACGTGTAGCAAACAAGAAACTCCCAAGTTGTGCAGCCAGTTCCAAAGTATCCCAAACTTCGATAAGAGATGGTGGCAAGCCATGATTTCGAACGAGACGATGGGCTGAGCCCTAACAGGGGCACCTAGTTGCAAACAGCCCCAACCAAACCCTAGCAGGGTGATGGGTGGTCAGTTCAAAACCAAAAACAAACCCCAAAGTCTGAGAACAAAATTGACTGAGATGGACCCGACTGATGTGTGCCGAGCCCAGAATCCTATCATGATTGAGGCGTGGATAACCATCAAAAGGATGACAGATGCTAAAGCTTCATAAGGACATGATGGAAATCCCCAAAACCTACGAGGGATGACACGGCCGCAGAACTTCAAACAGCTGGGATGCGTGACATGCCCATCATCGCAAGAGGAATACGTCTTGGGCTGCAAAGTTTTGCGGTCCTCGGTAGTAGGTTTCATCGGGGTGTTCGTCGTGGCCATCATCATGGTCGTCGTCATGCTCATCATCATCATCATCGTCCCCATCATCCTCATCATCATCTCCATCATCATCATCATCATCTTCCTCCCTGTCATCATTTTCGTTTTTCTTCATAACCTCTGCATCATTTATCATGACCATCACCATCATTTCATCGTCGTTCTCTCATCATCATCATCATCCTCGTGATCATTTTCATGCCATCATCGTATCATGGCTATCATCACCTTCACCATCATTATCACCGTCGCCATCACCACCATCACCATCATCATTATAATCATCATTGCCATCGTTTCATTACCATTCTCATCCTCATCTTCATCGTCATCATATGGTGAACATCCCGTGTGGTAAACTCCAAGACCCCAGATGATCAGTGGCAAAACCTAAACCTCTAAAGAAAGCTACTGTTGCCAACAACAGGAAACGCGGGGTTGCCGATCCAAAACAGCTTGTGATCAGAATCTAGCCGAGCAAGACTAGGCCAAAACGCAGGCCCGGATTTTGATTCGTTGTGCAAAGGGGTGAGCCGCCGCGTGTAATGAAAAGTATGTTGGCAGCCGTCAGGGACGACTGATCTGTCAACGCATCCTCAGCTTCGGAAGTCCTTGTGCTGGTGATAACTTGTTTCCCCTGCCTTCAGTAAACGGGGGGTAGTCTTGGGCATCGGAGATTTTAGGGGCAGCGACTCAGAGGCGGCACACTCCTATGGTTTAGCTTCTTCACAAAAACTATACGACCATGCCCCTAGCTTCAGCTATTGGTAGTAGCACCAATTTGATCTCAAACGCATGCTGGACCACGCTCCCAGCACAATTTCACTGCAGGCGTTGTCGTGGACATCATACTATGAGAGTAGATGCAGATTGCCTTTCATCTCCTGAAGCTCCTGCCTTGATGTCTTGTGTAATTCTTTCTCCTGGTTCGTGTTGCTAACTGCAGTTGCTGGAGACCTCTGGTCAGTCGTTCAGGGATACGTCTTGTCTTCCGGCGTCACTTTCCGGCCTCACTCACGAGTTGAAAACGAGAAAGATCAGGCACGCTAAAGTGCTTGGACCCTAGATGTTTGACGGCAGAATGTCCTGGGAAAAACAGTTCTTTTTGATTTGCGTTTTGGATCGATCGGGTGATCTGACGGTCATGGTGCTCTTGCCGACTGTTACCCAGGGAGAGAATGTCGACGTCATCAAAGCAGAGCACATAGATCGACAGAAGCGCTCTATGGATGATCATAAGAGGCTGGATGCAGTGGCAATGGAGTCGTGGTTACGCTCCGTGCCTTGCAGGAGCCAACTGGAGCGCAAGTTGGGCATTGCAATATAGTGCCGCGTCCGCGAATGTGCGTGCGTTGAGAGCTGCTTCAAAACGCCACTGCATTCTTTCTGCATACATGCACTTTCGCAGTTGGACTCGTAGCGAAAATGCTCGTCCACTGTCAAGGCAGTGTGAATATCGCACGGCCTTCCGGCAAGTCGATGAAGCAATCATCGGTTTGTGATGCATGCAAGCAAGCACGCAGAAGTCATAGTGGGCAGAAATGGCCACATTTGATGAGTGCTGAGGGGGGTGCTTGTCATCGTTGTCCAAAGGTTAATCCCGGCGGCTCTTGGGATCTCGGGTGTGCCGGGTGCCAGCTCTAATTACAGGCTCAAGGGCTCTCTCATCGTTGAGGGACTGATTGGAGAGCCTTCATGTGCACTCCAAAGGCGGGAAGTATGCCGGCGGAAATCAAGAGTCATGGCAGGGTTTGCAGAGCGCAGCAAGCGCATTGAAAGGCTCTTCGATGACGGAGCATGCCCTGGTTTCGGAGGAGCCTGTGGGTCCTGGAAACGCTTGGGCGAAAGCAGTGCAGATTTCTCCTTCCAGGAGCTCTTTCCGGCTGCCGACCCCTTCGCAGGGTCGCGATCACATCCCGGAAGTTCCGCCCAACTTTCGAAGCCAGCTGGTTCACGAGATAAGCATCTCGACAGAGCTTCATGGAACCCGCCCGTACGCCTTCGCGAAGTGTGACTGTGACTGAGAGCGTTTGTCCGCCGTCACAGAGGTCATTATGAAATCGACAGAAAATATGAGACTCGTCAATTACTCGGGCAAGGCGGCGACCCGCCGCAGCTTATCTTTGCCAGTGGCCATTCGCGCCTAAGCAGTCTGCGAGGATCTTACGGCTCTGTCCATTTGGTCTGCGAGAGGACGACACAGCAGAAGAAGGCCTAGAACTGAGTTGTCGAATGCCGCTCCGCCTCGTCCGTAGGAAGCCATTCGCCACCAAAGCTTGACTTACAGAAGCGAACACCTCACTGTCTCAAGCAAGAGCAGCATTCAGAGCAATAGGAACAATGATGATCGTAATCATCCCCATCTTCTTCATCAGCGACTGTGACGACAACGACAAGAACGACAACGACGTCTGCGCCCGTAACCATGACTACGACTAGGACTCCTCATGCTGCTTCTGCTGCTGCCACTTCTGCTTATCACTACCCCGGTTTGTACTGGTGCCAGTACTTCTTCAGCGACAAAAAGTACTGCTGGTACTAGTATTCTATCAGTACTCCTGCTAGTGTACTCCAGCTACTGGTAGCATTACAACTAGTCTACTACTACTAAGCAGGAGTAGTGGTAGCAGCAGAAGAAGAAGTAGTAGTAGTAGTCGTCGTGGTGATAGTAGCAGTGGTCGTGGTGATAGTAGCAGTGGTCGTGGTGATAGTGGTAGTAGTAGTAGTAGTAGTAGTTGTAGTTGTAGTAGTAGTAGTAGTAGCAGTAGTAGTAGTCGTCGTGGTGGGTGGTGGTGGTGGTGGTGGTGGTGGTGGTGGTGGTGGTAGTGGTGGTGGTGGTGGTGGTGGTGGTAGTAGTAGTAGTAGTAGTAGTAGTAGTGGTAGTCTTAGTAGCTAGCCAAACGAACTAATTTACTAACTGACTAACCAACTAATAGACTAACCAACTAACCAACCAACAACCAACTAACCTACTAGTCAACTCAATCAACTAACTAACTAACTGACTAGCTTGCTAGCTAGCAAACTGATTGAATACCTAAGTTACTGAATAGGTAAATAGGCTGGCTAACCAAATAGCTAGCTGACTGACTGACTGCCTGCCTGGCTGGCTAGCTTACTGACTGCTTGATCAACGAACTAGCTATCTATCTGATTGGCTACCTGCCGAGCTAACTCACCACCTAGCCAGCTAGCTAGCTAGCTATCCGCCTAGCTAGCTGGTTAGCTTACTACGTCACTAGCTAGTTAAATGACTAACTACTAGCAAACGAGCGAACGAACGAACGAACGAACTAACTGACTAACTAACTACCCAACTAACTAGCTAACTAACTCACTAACAAGCTAACAAGCTAACAAACTAACAAACTAACAAGCTAACAAGCTAACAAACTAACAAACTAACAAACTAACAAACTAACAAACTAACAAACTAACAAACTAACAAACTAACAAACTAACAACTAACTAACTAAACCAACTAACTAACGAAACTAAATAAACCTACTAAACTAAACTAAACTAGCTAAACTAACTAAACTAGCTACACTAACTACACTAACTAAACTAACTAAACTAACTAAACTAAACTAAACTAACCTAACCTAACTTTAACTTAACGTAACCTAACCTAACCTAACTAACTAACCAACCCACTCACTCACTCTCTAACTCAACTAACTAACTAACTAACTAACTAACTAGCTAACTAACTAACTAACTAACTAACTCACTAACTAGCAAGCAAGCAAGCAAACAAACAAACTAACTAACTAGGTTAAGTAATTAGTTCTTGTGAATCCCTTTGTTCCACTTTGGCTTTGCGCTGCGTGTGTGTGTGTGTGTGCGCGTGTGTGTTTGTCCTTCTGCGTTCTTGCGCGCACGCGCGCTCTCTTTGCGCCATCTGCTGGCCGAGGCCTCCAAATCCATCGCAAGGCAACAATTTCCTCACCTGCGAACTTGTCTGATATGCCCAGCCCTCGAGCTAGTGGTCGCAGGCCCGAAGCATGGGGGCGCGAGCGATTCCGGATGGAAGGCAGGGCTGTCCTGGTCATGTTCAGTCGGTGCAGCAAGTCGCACGGTAGGCTCGGCTGTTGAAGCCACGCAGAACTTTCTGATATCAAGTCTCGCATCTGTGTTGCCGTGCAGATATCCGCACGATGTTTAGGAATTTAGGAAAGCTTCTGTGAGCTCCTTGGAGACTTTGGTTTCGGGAAGGGGGTGGTCATGGGAAGATTTTGTGATGGCTGTTCAGAAATAGTCAGAGATCTTCGTCACGCAAAGTCGTTGTGGAGGAATGGTCATGCAGAATGCAGATCATCCGCGCCCTGTCTTGCGGTGATGGGGATGCAAATCAAGCGGTAGTTTTGTGCAAGCGCTGTGAAGGTCGTGCTGACATGCTTGCAATAGTCAGGTACATCCTCAGACTTTTTGAATGGTTCGAGAACGGCGATCAGGCCATCCTTGTCCAGAATTGAAATCCTGAAGCGTTTGTGATCTTGTATGCTTGTCCCGAGGCAACGCTGATCTGCCAGTTCTGTGAGGGCGGCGAACTTTTGAGCGCCATCCGCAAGGGCAGAGCAAGCGGTGCTGTCCTTGAGGATCGAGACACCTGTTTGACTTTGTGTGCCCTGCTGCCGCAATTCCCGTCAGGAGTCGTGGGCGGCGTGTGCGCTGCGACAGCCTTTTCAGGTCCGTGTATCTTGCTGCACACCTTTGAAGTACTTCCAGGCAATGGCGCCTGTGACAGGCCCTCGTATATCTGCACAACAAGGGCATTGTGCACAAAGACTTGAAAGTGGAAAACCTCTTGCTGCTGCGAAGCATCGCCCCTCGCATATTCAAAATCACCTTGCTCGACGTATGTGCGATGCCGCTTTATGCAGCCCTGAAGTAGTTTTGGTAACATGGCCCAGCCGAGGTGTCAGACGATGGCCGGGCATTTGGTCGGCCTCCTCATGTTACGCGGCTTAAGCTTACTGGAGATTGTTGACAGGAGTGTTTGCAAGCTCAGGTTGTAGTTAGCGACTTCGGCACTGCCGAGATTTGCATGCGGGGTCTGTCGAGTCCCTTCGTTGCACGTGGCACAAAGCTCCTCGGCGAGAGTGGGAGCAACAGGATTTTGAGTGGTGCTTACAACTTCTATGCGGTCGGGCTATGCATGTCAAGCAACCCTCACAATACACGACAGTGCAACGCGAGAGGTGCGAGTCTGTTCAGAGCAAATCCTACGGAAGCGTAGCACCGCAACATGTTGGACGTTCGTTTGACTAAATGCGGGATAGGTTGTTGGATGATGCAGTAAACGTGCACCCTCACTGCATGGTTGCCTTTGTAGCTTGCTTGGCTGCTGATTGATGCTTGATGCTGGGTGTTTGTGTGTGTGTGTGTGGGTGGGGGTGCACCTGCTGGATTCTGAGGGTTGCTGGAACACCGGCGACAATGTCTCCAGAGTGCTTGCAGGGCAATTGCAGTGCAAAGTCGGACATGCAAGGGCCTCAAGCATTAAACCAAGAAGACAGTTCAGCTTTTTGCTTGCCTTGCGATTCTTGTTTGAAAGCCAATGGCACAAGCCGAGATGGAGCATGGGATGCGTGATGTACGAGATGTTTGCCAATGTCTTGCCGTTCCATTTGTCCGGAAGTATGGCGGATGCTGATGCGCATCAGGCTCTGCAGTTTTCGTGCGAGGGGCAGCTTTGACACATCTGTCTGGCAGGATGCGTGGCTCCAGCTGCACAAGCAGGGCCCGAAGTGGGACAAGCTCCGACAAGTTCTCAGAGCATCTAGAACCTGCTTGCTGCTCCTGATTTGGCAACAGGCAGAGCCCAACAGACCCAACAGGCTCAGCCGCTGAGGAGGTTGGAGCTTCTCGGGTGGTGGGGCCCCGTAGCCTGCAGCAGACCTCCTCCATCGGCTGCCAAACACTGGCCAAGCCGAATCTCTCAACAGGATTCCAGCTTTTTCGCAGTGCCATCTCTTTGAAGCCGAGCGTGAAGCTGCATCGGGTACTGACGTATTATTATGTTCCATGGCTGCTGGGGTGCAGGCTGTGTAGGCTTAGAATTGTAACGTTCTGCCACTGCTAATGTCGGGTTGAGCATTTTGGCATCATTCACCACCCAGGGCCACTTATCCCCCCCCAGCGTTTACTTATTAACAGTGATATCGAAGACCGTATTCGTTAAACTGATAGCGGTCATAATCCTTCTGGATGTCTTGGTGGATGGTTTGTAGTGGTGGGTGTTGTGGGAGGCGGAACAAAGATTCTAGTGGGATTCGGGAAGGGGAGCAGTTAGGGCCCAGACGCGCTGGACCACCCCACGACCAGCAACCCCAAAACCAGTGCCTGAAGAATGCTAGGTTTTTAGCGACCAAAGTTGTTTGCGAGGCCACTGGCATTTTTGTTGCTTGAGATTGCCCTCCGTGTAAGCAATTATTCGCTGTCCGATGTGTCGAGCATGAAACTGCGGGCATGGGCACCAGCTTGAAGCCCGCCTCCGATGTCTGGCTTGGGCGTGGAGCGGAGAGGCTCATGCGTGAACGTCTCGCTGCGCAGATGTCGCATGTCGTCGAGTTGCAGCTTGGTCACCCCTGCAGCAGACACAAGCGAGAAGTGATCCGGCTTGTGATATCGACCAAGTACTGAGGATGCAGCTCGTCTGCCAAAGACCTGTGCCAAAAGCTGCTGAGCTTCAGGCACAGCTGTACCTCATCACTGCTTGCAAGATTCCTTCCTTTTGTCCGCGGCCGCCTCGAGGGAAGTTGGTCGACCCAACGCAACCGACTGCCTTAAGCTCCTCGACTCAGTTTCTCTCCATCTCTCCATGCCCCACTCCTTCGGACAGCATGCTTGCCTGTCTGATGTCTTTCCTCTCTGTCTTTTGCAGAATTGCCGAGGCACTCCTGGCTAAAGCAGCAAAAGAGCAACTTGGGAAAAGAAGAGAAGACCTTCCTTCGCATCTATGCCGCATGGAGAGCGTATTCAAGTCACAGGCCCTCATTACGCAATCTGACAGCCGGGAACGATGGCAGCAGTAACTTAGGTACGGCACTGACTCGTTGGGCAAGCACCAGTCAATGCGGCAAAGCGAGGGAACCAAAGCGAAAGCTCTGCATAGCAACGCGTAGCAACACCACTTTTGACGCATTTCTGCATCTGTCTTTGCTGGCCTAAGGCACTGTTCCTGAAGATGGCTTCGACATGCAGTTTTGTGGATCGATTCGCTCAGGTACAGCCTTTGCCAAGTCTCCTTTGTTTCGAGTTTCCTACATTCGAAGCGAGGCCTTCTGCAAGCTTGACTCCGACGACAATGGTATGCTGGAGAGGAATGAGGCAAGTCCGCTTACATGCACTTACACTTCGCGATGCACCGAGCTTGTTGGGCAACTCAGGTTTTCAGCGCAACACAGATGCTCGGAATTCAGAAAGATGCGGCAAAGAAATTGGTGAATGCGCTTGATCAGAATTGTGATGGCTCCATACAGTACCTGGAATTTTGCGCTGCATGTCTCCTGGCCTCAACCGACGAGCTCTATGCATTGCTGTCCCAGGCGCCGGCTTTGGCTCTACACCCTAAGCTCCTCACCCAGAAGCCTTGCTTGCCTTGCTTCCTTCCGTGCGAGGAATTCCAAGCACTCTGCGCCGGGGAAAAAGGCGACAAGCCAACCGTGTTCTCTCGATGTGCGTGTGTTTATGAACAGTTGACCGAGGTTGCCCGCGGCAAGCACTGCAGATCCTGCTGAAGGCATGCAGTTGATCGGCACTGACCACCCGCACGTTGTGACCTCGCTATTCCACAGGACCTGCGGCCTCTCGTTGCAGACTCAGGAGGATACTTCCCCGAGGAGGTCAAAAAGGACAGCGAGCCGAGAGAGGTTTCGACGTGTGTTGCGTTCACCCGTTTTGCAGGAGGGACGCTTGAGCTTCAAGGAGCCCGCCTGGGTTCCACCGCATCCAGTACCTCGGACATGCTGTTGCAGGACTTCTGCCTCTTCTTTGGCCAGCAGGTTGAGGAGCCGGAAGAACCGGAAGGACACGAGAGCCGTGAAGTTCAGGATAGGATGCAAAGCAGTGGTCGTCACAACCAGGCAGTCATCCCATCTCCACAACGGAAATGGAGAGCATGCTCAAGGAACCAATGGGTGTGTAGTATGCGTAAGGATGGAGAGTGAGAACTTGGCAGCAATTGTTTACTGGGGAGGCAAAAGAGGAGGTGCCATCACCTCGAAGTGCACAGAGCAGTCCAAGGGCATTCAAGGCCCAGGCGGCCCAGGTCCGAGCGGGCTGGCTGTTCCTTTGACGCTTCGTTGTTCCCTGGCTGGGGCCCAAGGCCGGAGGGCATACTCTGGGCGAGGGCGAGGCGCGCAGTGTTGCGACATCTTGCAGAACGTCGCGCTTTTAATTCGCTGCATGTTACTTTGCACGAATGCTCTTGGTGCCTATCTTCCTTGCAGACGGGGTCCTTGATACGAAGACGCCAGCAAGGCCACGAGAAGGCTGCTCTGCAAGAGCTCGCGTTTCCCAAGCTGGTTCTATTCGGAGATGCCTGCACGTGCCTGAACTTGTTTCTCAGACTCTCCAGGCCAGCAGCATGCCCAGCACACCAACATCTCAAAGTGCTGCACTGCCGATGCAATCCGTTTCTTGGTCTGCTTGCAGTTAGGTGCGTTGCAGCTTACCGGTGAACTACACTTAGATTACATTGCATCCAGAGTAGACGTGCTTGGAAAAGTGTGTGGTCATGCGAGACCAGTGCAAGACTGCTGTCAGAAAGCCAAGGACTGCGATGTGGAGTTCCGACCGGTTTCCAAACCAAAGGCCAGCTGTGCATGAGCTGATATTATGAGGGGGGGAGTTCCTGGGGCAATCCGGCGGAATGGGCCCCAGCATGTCAGTGATCATTTCACAAGTTTATGCATGCATGGAAGCTGGTCTTGCAGACATTCAGTGTAGTGCGTTTGACACGCGAGCACAAGGCCCGTGCCCTCGAACTCCGCTGGCCACTGGGCTTCCTACCTTCCAGAGTCACCCGTTCTCATTGTGTTCGGCCTCAACCTTGGCCCCAGACAGGGCGCATCTGCGCCAACCAGCGTATCTTGCAGTCAAACCTGCACCGTCCGTCCTGAAGATGTGTAGGTCACTCGCATCCCATGCACTGCAGACGAAATGCAAAAAGGAAACGTTGTGCGCCCGCGAGTCCGTGCGCTCTCGCTCCATGCTTAGGCTTGTTAGGCGCCCTTTCTCTATGCTGTTCCCATGCGAGGGTGCTGCAATTCCAGAACTCCAATTGTTTCCAAGTTTTGACAGGTTTGAAATGTGTACTGTCGCCCCAAAAAGTGCACCCGGCATCTGCTTCAAGGGGCTGGATTCTTCATTGGCATATGTTTGTTCTTTTTTCAATTGCTGCCACTCTCACAAGCTGTCAACAAGCCGACCATGCACGTCACAGTAGTTGCTTTCCCTCGCCAAGCGCAGACTCAAGTCTAAGCTCAAAATTCCCGTTGTCTCAACAGACACACATGCCGCTCTTGCTATCCGGACAGTCCATGTCTGTTGGTTGTGGCCACTTTTCTTTCTGCGGTACACCGAACAGAACGTCTGGAGGAGCGTTTTAGCTTAGGATCCTCGGAACAGGAGGTGTTGAGTGCAGTTCCGGAAGCCAAGAGTAAAGACTGCTTGGTTGAACTGAAAAATCTCGTCATGTTGTCAGGCTGGCCGCCCTTCAACACCGGTGGAAGGTGATGCCCATGCCTTGGCAGAAGGTTGCAGGACTACAGTAGCACTGTAGCATGCAGCGTGTTTTGGAGCTATGCGGACTGCTTGGCTGGTTGCGATCTTCGTACAATCCTTCTCAGAAGCATTGTGCAGAAGAAGGGCATGCAGCAAGAGCGGAGCGGTTGTGTTGCAAATGCTGGTGAGCTTGCGCATGAAGTAGCCATCTAGAGGCACGTCGCCGGGAGAAGAGTACTGCACCAGAAACGCCCACATTGGACGCTTGGCAGCAGTTTTTCCTGCTGCGTTTTATTGGAGAAGGGCGGACCACGACGGCACGCTTTTGTTTGCCTGACCGAGACTATGCCCGGGTCCGACATGAAGGCTTCCGGGCAAGATGTGAGACGGTTTACCGAAAGACGGTTATTCCTCCGGTGCAAATGTGCGCTTCGCAAGCAACGCGATCTTCAGAAAGTTGTGCACCACATGTGTGAGAAAGGACCTCTCCCTGGCCAGGCTAACGGTCCAAAAGCACTGGAGCATTCATCAGCAGCACAGGCACAGCGGCATACAGCGATGCAAAAGCACTTAGAGACTTAGGGGCCACTTGCAACTCGCGGAGTCGCTCGAGGTCGGGCCGAGCCAAATGCGGCCGCAGGGATCGCCAGGGAGGAACAGCCGAAGTGCGAAGAACGACAGCAACGAAGCTTCTCCTCAGGCTCGGCTTGCGCATTTCCCTAGGTCGCAGAGAGCTACTCAAACATGTTCAAAAGAGACATCTGTCCGTCGGATACTACGAGGCTACGCCGAGGCAGTCCGGCAGAGTGAGCCAAAAGCAGGAAAGAAGGGGTCCGCCGCAAGCTCCCTTTTATGCAATTGGAAATGCTGTTTCGCTGCTGCTTGGGGAGGTTTCCAAGTAGCCACCGTGCTGGGAAAGTCAGGCTTCTCGAAGAAGTCACGTGCATGAGCCCGCGAAAGATGGATCGGTGTTCCAGGATCCGAATATGGAAGTTGCCTGTCAGTTCTCTTGCAGCCAAAGCCAACTCAGGCCAATCCATCGGCAAAAGATCTGCACGCCTCTGACTTGGACGAGACTCGGAACGCACTCGACAGATCTCGAGAGCAGCTGTGCCAGTTGCCCTTGTGCCTGATCTGTGCCGGGCGGAGGCTGTCCAAAGCGGTCGAACCGTGGAGAAGACGGCACCAGGAAAAGGCCGGAGGCCTTCCGACCAGGTGCCTTTCAGGGGCAGTGTCGCCTCGGCCCTCCAATGCAGCAAGCAGACGAAGTCGCAGAGGAGCTGAAGCCAGTCGGGTTGGTGCCTCCTGCACGGCAGGTGCGATACAGTCAGCCTCTATGAACAATTCTGTCTGGCATCTTGGTAGCCCCGAACCAGGAAACAATGAGTACTCAGAGCACTTTCGGAGGGATGGAGTTTGAAACTTCGGCAGCATCATCCTCACAGGAGGAGGCCGCATCTAATCGCGCCCGGATGACTAGCTGTGACTAGCTGATGCTTCCTGTGTGGAAGGCCATACCGCCAAGCTTCGACACGTCCGTGAGCCAGGTTGCGAGTAGCCACACTCTCGGTGAGCAGCGTTGTGAGAAGCTGCAGGCCGATCCGACGGCGCACATCGAGAATAACAAAGATGATAATGTTATCCTCCCTGACCATGTGGCGCAAAATGCGCACGAGGACTCCGGTCCGAGGGCAATCGCGGTTGACTTGTGTCCTTACCGACGTCATGCATGTGGGGTAGAGCAGGGCTCGGAGGATGTTGGAGGTCAGTGGTGTCACCCTGCCACTCTTCTGCAGCATCTCGCATGAGGATACTGGCACTGCCTTCAACTTCGCTACTCCTGCCAAGGCAGTCAGTCGGGTGATGGTCAGTCTTTAAGGTGCTGGGTGCGCTCAGCAAGTCCGAATGAGACTTGCTAGCCCTTTTGATTCCAGTCCCTGCCTTTCTCATGCACAGGCGTTGTACAGGAATCCCCGTGCTTGTTCACTTCTCATTTTGGCAGGGCTGTGTTGCCGAAGGCAGCAACAGCCAAGTCTTAAGGGGCGGCGGCGCCCTTGAGTTTTCAAGACGTTTAGTTCTTGGTCCCAGCATGTCGGGCTAGCTAATACCCCATAGGCTACCGCCTCCCGGGACATGAAAATTTCGTCAGATGGAACTGAGGCTACCATGTTGATTTGGCCAATCCTGATGTCCTCGATCTTCTGCGTGCCATGAAATACGTACCGGATCCACACGGCTTACTCTCGTTTTTGGCAGCATTTAGCAGGTTCAGGTAGAAAGGCGTGCGGGAAGTCGTAAGCATGACGGACTTCAAGTTGCAGGTGGATGAATCCAA